GAGAGAGAGAGAGAGAGAGAGAGAGAGAGAGAGAGAGAGAGAGAGAGAGAGAGAGAGAGGATTGCAGACCAGCTGATAAACACAAAGATTCATAAAACTGGCATGCATGCATGTGCCAAACATAAACACAATGGGAAAACAGATACGAGAGAATGCAGTACATAGCCCTCATCTCCTTACCACATACAACCTGCAATGCATGGATTAAGCATGCTGACTGGCGCAGACCTGTTTCAGATTATCGTTATTATCCATGTTGGACACTTTGACTATCCCCTGGCTGCCATGAAATACGAACTCGACAAAACAAACTGTCAAAATACCACCCTCCTTGATGAACCTTAAGAGTCTGGTTTCAGACAGCAAAGATGGATTCCTTCACTCCCTGTCTTGCTTTCTCGCTCACGTACAGCCACTCTCATTCCTCTTCCCTCCCCTCCCCCACCCCATGTTCTGTTTACCTTCGATCTGAAGAACCCGACCTTATGCAAGTGATGGGATAAGAAAGTAAGAATTGATGATCAATTGATTGAAGGTAAGAATGTTCGTGTAGCAATTGTACACTTCTGCGACATGTAAATACGGACTGCATGACTGCCCTAGATAATGTGATGGGTGCGCGCGCCAATGAGCACTCACTCTCCGCAACACCCTTCTCGAGGTCACGAATCGCCCTTTCCAGCATAGTTCCTCGCGGAGCCCCACCTCTCCTAACAGGCGACAAAACCAGGTCATCGCCAGAAGAGCCTTTCTGCGAAATCAGAGAGGAAGAAGGAAAAGATATGCTAACTCTATCAGTGCTTCAACGACCTTCGCTTAACGAATCACACGTGGGAGACGACCTCTTCAGTTCTCGGGTTACCGGGTATGTGTTCGGGAGGAGGGGCAAAGCAGACAGCAGTCAACATTATGGGTGCAGGGGGGAGAGGAGGCAGGAACAGCGAAGGCAGGGGGATAAGCGTCAGACTCAGCCCCAATCAAACACAACAGCCACACAATCACATAGCAAGCAGCGCAGCCTCATTTGCACGATGCGATCAAAATGACAGAATCTCAGAAAACGACAACACCATTGCAGATCTTGCAGAGTCATTCGTTCACCGAGCTTGTGACATCTCCGTGCATAGTTTGCCTATGCTTGGAAGTCAAGTCGTAAGTATACCGCTACATGCCTCCTACAGAAATGCAACTTCAATCTTTCACTTTAGTCCATCATCGATTAAGCACAGCGACAGAGAAAGCCTGTGAATGCATCCACGTGCCACATAAAACATTCACTATCACCACCACCACCACATCAGCAGCGGCAGCACCACCGCAACCATCACCACGATCACGATCATCATGCAGCTCAACAACTTTGAAATAGCTGCCCATGCTACAAGAAAAAAAAACACAGCACATGCATTGCCTTGCAGAGACGAACATCAATCAGAACTCAACAGCAATCCCTCTTCACCAGTTCCACCCACCCACCCACCCACCCACGCAAACATTGTCAGGTCAGCACTTGTATACCGATGTCAGTTGGCAAACACAGAGCACAACTTTCCTGTGCATGAGAGAGCCAATGCTTCTTGAACAGCAAAATGGACGGACGGACTCAGTAGAAAAACAGACGAGACTGTCTGTCAGGTGAGGTCCCCGGGCCCTGCGTTTCAGGGGTGAACCGCAGGGGCTGAACTACAGGGGTCAGGCACCCAAAACCCGGGTTCAGGACTGAGTCAACTGGTTGGGTTGTCAATCAGGTACCAAGCCCCTATAGCTCAATGCCGACCTACCCTCTCAGCTTCCCGCAGAGAGATTAATAGAACTGAGAAAGAGTGGGGTCATGTGGGTTGGGGCAATCCTAGTGAAGAAAAAACAATTTGAGGAAGGGAGTTTGTCATGTGCAACAGGACTTTAGGGTACCTGCACGGAGGTCCCAGGCTCAGAAAATGGATAAAGTGTACATCGTCAACAACACACACACACACACACACACATACAGACAGACAGAGAGAGAGAGAGAGAGAGAGAGAGAGAGAGAGAGAGAGAGAGAGAGAGAGAGAGAGAGGGAGACAGGGAGACAGAGAGACAGAGAGAATGAGGGGGGTACCAAGAGGAAGAGACAGAAACAGACACACAGACAGGCAGTCTGCACAACAGAGAGACAGACAGACAGTCTGCACAACGAGAAGTGCATTCTAGCTAGAGAATCCCCACGAAAAGATTTGAATTGTAAGTACCTGTTCTTGACATAGATAGTGGGCACTCTGCTGCCCATACTTGAAAGGTAAAATCTGAACTGAGAATTGTCAGTGCAAAAAAAGCAAAACACAGTTTCAAGGCCATGGACCGGGCTGACGAGGTAACCAGACATAGATAGACAAGCTGCGTGGAGAGACTCCTATCAAGCCCAAAGAATCCACTCCCAATCTACAGACAATCTGAACCCGACAGCAGTAGCAGCTCTGCACATCCTGAAAAGTGCACAAGCTCAACTAACCTGGATGCAAAACATGGCTGGAACTGGAAAGACCAGTCACAAGACTGCATAACATTCATTACCTGAGTGGAGAAACTGAGCTCCACACCAAACACAGGACTGCATGGTTAAAGCAGCACAAATTGCCACAAAACAAAAAGGACCCCTAAGCTATATCCAGTCTAAGGTCTGAGGAGCAGCAACACTCCTTGCATAGCAGACATCTCCAGTGCCCTAAAGTGTGCTTATCCTAGATCTACACAGCAGTAAAAGCGCTGCACTAGCTCACTAAGAAACCAGACAGCAAAAGGAGTGAAAATTTGAAAAACATACAACATTAGACTCGTCCCAGATCATAGATGGAAGGACAGAAAACCAAGAAAAGCAGAACAACCCAAAACGTCCCTAGGTACAGAAAGCCATCAACAAACAGTGCAAGTCAACAAGCGAGTGAGCGAATGAGTGCGCGAGCGAGTAAGAATAGAGATGACCACAATGAACGGAACTGTGGAAATCCAGCATTTCTGTCGATCATCCTCCCCCCCTCTTTGCAACCTCGTTCATCGAATCCACTCAAAACCGAAGGACTCGTTCATTGGATCTGCTCAAGCCCAAAGACCAGACTCCACACAAGCAATAATTTGAGGGAACACCAGGGACACGGATGAGAGAACAAATGCAGAGAGAAAATCGATTGCAAATATCCCGATTGTCTGCTTCTGGAAATACATACCATAATAACAAACATATCTGTTACTTACTGGATAAGTAACCGACACATCCATCATGTCACCAGCTCATTCACATCATCCTTCACAATCATCATCACATAATTAGTGCACCCACATCATCATCATCATCATCATCATCGTCATCATCGTCATCACCATCATCATCATCATGATGCTGCCGAAATGTCAGCCACGTCCCTTCAAAATCATTACCACCAGTCATGATGATTGTATGCAACAGATTCTCATCATGCTGAACTTGCATGTGATCCTAAAAGAATCTCCCTTTTGACGAAAGGGAGACATTCCTAAACAGGCGCGGAAAGGAATATCACATACCGAACCACTAGAGAACCGAAACAGGTTGGCAGGATACACAAAACACACAAACGACAGAAGCCCTGACCTGCAACTGTCTGTTGCCGAGGTCCAAACCCTGGCAAAACCCATGAAAAAAACCCACAATGTTTCTTTCTCGCCCACGCATGTCAAGATAGTCTCTTCGTGGCTACCGCTTAAAGGCTCAGCCTTGGAAGTTCTATTTATAGCCTACCCAGTCCTACCGCATCCAAGGGTTGTGTCATGCAGCTCTGCAGGCAAGTACGGCAGAAAAGAAACCTGAATGCTACCGATTGACCGCCCCCAAGTGGAACTCGCAGCTTCGACGAATGGTTTGCTGCTGGATATAAACTAAAAGTTGAAGAGTCGAGGATTAACTGCAAACAATCGTGTATGTCATCCAGTTATTCAAAGGCCAACCCTCCTCCCTCTCAACCAGGACCATCGCCGCTGGTGCGCCTGCCCCCCTCCGGTTGCCAATGGGTTCAGAACTTCAGACCTCACACGATACTAAACGAGACTGCAAGCTCCACTGGTGCTATGTTCATATGCTTGGACGGCACGACTGTGGCCTTGAAAGCAAACAGGTTCGTCCTTTCAGATTATGAGCGTAACACACAGCTGGGGTCTAGCCCTTAGCATTCTGTTTCGATAACCTAAGAACCAAACCAGATGGATGTTCACTGAGAGCGCGTTGCCTCGTCCGCATCCCTTTGCTTGTCGCCACACATACACACCTTTTCAAGACATCTTCACCAAGTGTGCTTTGACCATTCCTACCCCTTGCTTGTTGCCTCACATGCACACCTTTTGAAGACATCTTTTATGCCTGAAAGACATCTTCCCATGCGTCGAGAACAGAGGAAAAGGGTACCCGCCCCTTTTAACCCTACCCAACCCCTTGCTTGTTGCCTCACATACACACCTTTTGAAGACATCTTTTACACCTGAAAGACATCTTCCCATGAGTCAAGAACAGAGGAAAAGGGTACTCGCCCCTTTTGACCCTACCCAACCCCTACAACCATAGTTTTATATCCCTATGCGATCGGCATCTTGACGGATATATAACTGCGCAGCGATAGCCCGTGAGACTCCGAAGCGTATATCAGACTATATCTGCTTGCAGCAAAGGCCGCCTGAGGAAAAGGGTACAAAACCCTTGGTGCACTGCGTGCTGCGACCAGCAAATGCATGACGGATTTACCTACAACTGTGCGAAGATGTCCCTCTGAAAATCTGGCAGATATAGCATAAGGCAGCGAAGGCCGCCTGATGAAAAGGGTACACAACCCTTGGCACGCTGCGTGCTGCGATCAGCAAATACACAACGGACTCACATACAAATCGTGCAAAGACATCCCTGCGAAAGGCGAGTATGTCCAGATATAGCATAAGGCCGTAGCTGCTCGCGATCAGCAGCAGGATAAGTCTAAAAAAGCCCTGCGGATATCTGGCAAGTACGAAAATGTACGCATAGGTAAAGAAGGTCACAGCTGGCAATCGGAAGCAGAGACAAGTTGGGGCATGGCCTCCAGAGGTCTGATAAATGCATGTGTCAGCACCGGTGTACTACTCGCCAAATGTGTGTGAAATAGCAAGTCCATATTCAGCTAGAGCCTAGAAGGTGGAAAAATGCACTCACCATTCTGTTTTCATCCTTTTGAAGTCCTTCAACGTTTCTCACATTCGGCGATTGGTAGAGTGAGAGGATGTACGTCGATTTGTCAGCAAGGTTGGTTATATTCGGCCATCTGCAGCAGGGGAACTGCCTGGTGACAATGCCCACTACAGGAGGAGGAGGAGGAGGTGGTCATCTCTCTGACATGAGTAGTCCTCCTCTTATGTTTTTGCTGTCCTGAGGTCACACCGTTCTTGCATCGACCCCTTTCCACACATGGGCACAACAAATACCCAAGTGATCAAAAAGAGAAGCAGGACCTATAAAAACAGAAAAACAGCAGGTCCTCGTCAGACCTTAATGTTCGGGCTTTTCTTTCTAGTTTGCCTGAAAACGCTTTTTTAGAAGTGATTAAATGTTCAGAAAGGCGGACAACTCCATGACAAACACCAGTTCTACCAAATCTGACTTATTTCATGATAAATTCAGCCTTTGTCATTTGACAGAATTGTTGGAAAAGACCTCCTACAGCAAAAAATCCCACTCCCTTCACATTAGCAGGCAGACAAAGGTCATTTGCCAGCGCCCAAGCCCACAAGGCCAGACAATCTGTCCAACTAGTTTTTTTCTTTTGCTCCAAAATACTGCGCCTTTCAACAGAGAAAGAAGAGAAACAAAAAATAATAAAATAATCCGAATTCCTGCAATGCTCGAGGCAGTCGATTCGTTCAGCAGTATCGGCATAAGTCGAATCCTCACCTCGGTGCCTTTGCTGTTGCCCACGTTATTGTTGGGACTGTTCCTGGGAGCACCTGTGGCTTTGTGTGGGAGGCCACCACCTCCCCCTCCATCCATCCTTGGCTTCTTGTGACTGATGCCATCGCGTCCGCCATCATTCAAACTCTCTCCTGCCATCGCCTTACCTACCTTCCCTACTCCACCCCCTCCCACCTCTATGAGTCTGCTGCTCATCATGCTGCCTTTCGACTTCATCCCCTTCTGATCAGAGAAGTCTCTGTCATCATCCGATTCTGTCTCTTCGTCGTCCATTTCCTCCACATTCTTACCCTTAAGCACTCTATTGTAGTTATAAGCCGATTCACTTGCACCCCCACCCCTCCCGTCTTCACCCCTTGGGTCCGTCATACTCCCAAACTTCAAAGAACCTCCTCCTCTCCGTTCCGTTTTGTCAGAATCTCCAGCATTTCCAGTCGGCGTCCGTCGACCGGTCACGTCATAACCTCCGCCAGATGCTGCCGAGGCTCTGAGTTCATCAGGCCCTGATCTGCCTGTGGCGCTTCCATCGGCTCTGACAGGGAAGAGCCCCCCAAAAGCCCCTCCACTCCCTTTGACCCTTGCCGTCAAACTGTCTACTCCTCCGATGCGCCCTGGAATCTGCAAATCCTCAGGGGCCACCATACCCTCTCCTCCCCCCTCCCTCCATCCCCTTTGCTGCGTGAGAACTCCTCCACTTGTGGCTACGCCGCAATCATTGTCCGTACGGACCCTAATAACCTCCCTTTCTCCCACCATACCTACTCTGGCATCCTTTGTGCGGTTAGGAGTCCCACTGGCAATGCCATCTCTGCGATAGACCTCCAAATTCATTTCCTCCCTCCGATTCTGGAAACCTACATCCCCCTTCAGATGTAGCTCGTCCCCACGGCCTAAGGGCTTCCTTCCTGGTCCTCCCATCACCTTCGGCCTGAAGGTCTTATGATCTGCCTCTCCGAACCGTGCCTCGTCCTTCAGCCGCTTCTTCCTCGCAGCAAACCCTTCCTCCTCTTCAAAATCACCTGAGCCCATGCATCCTTCCTTTTTACCATGGATCATATTCTTCGCCTTTTTCTTCACCACTCTTTCCTTTGCAATTACCTTCGGTACCCTCTTTTCTTCCTTCCCTTTACTCGCAGGCCGCTTTCGGTCCATCATCTTTTGCAAGGGTGCTCCAGGAAGTGAGGACGAATCATTCCTGCAGACAGAACATTAAAACCGACTGCATGCCTAAGTTCCACTACATGTGTAAGCCCAATTACGCATGTCCGCCCCATTACCCATGCAAGTCCCGTCACACTCGTAGGCCCCAGTACACACTGTTTTAGGACCCTGTTCTCAAAAGCCCACCACGAAAAGGGTTCTGTGTGCCTGAATCTTACAAGTAATGCAAGCCTGATATATAGTGTGAGCCAGACATTACGCACAATCGAAATCTGAAAACCGATGTCCTTTCTGAGATTTTCAGGGCTCTTCAAACGTTTTTTTCCCTCTTCTTTTCTTCTCCATTACTAGGACATGGATTCATACTGTAGGCACCTAGGCATTGGGCGACCTGCCAACCAATC